TGTTGTAAATCAGAGTGGTGCAGTTTTTCATTCTCAAGTTTCCAGTTATCTTCATTTGAAATTTGTTCACTGTGCCATCACTGTTAAAAACCACATTCTTTGGATCGTAGGTCTCTTTGTCTTCTTTATACCATATTCCAAATGTTTCTGTTGTGTTGTCAAACTCTTTTTCTTCTTTAACACTAAAGCTACATGGGATTTTCAAACAAGTTCCACTCAGTGCTTCCATCTTCTTTGGTGTAGTGATGAAGAGATGTGACCATTTAGTCCGACATTCATCCGACGCTTCTGTAAAGCAGACCATCAGTTATTATAATGTGGAGCAGGATCTTCATATAGAGGATGTTAATGAGAGTCTAAGAAGTAATGTGGTGTGCTCTGGTCTTTTTCTCTCTTGTTCACAAAGTCAGTCTAAAACATTTCACTTTTCAGTCAAGACATGAAGAGATGAAAGAAGAAACTCTATCTGCACTCTTCTCTCTGCTTTGTTTCTACAGGAAGTTCAAACTGTACAGATTAAACATCTTTGAATGAAAGTAAGTGAACAAACAGCTCACCTGAAAGAGAGAAGACAGTCAGTAACATGATGGCTGTTACCATGTTCACTGACAGGACTGCAGTAACACCCATCACCTGGAATTAAAAACTAAGTTACTCTTCAAAGTCCTCGTTAAAGAGTTGGATGAACAAAACAGTCATTTTCACTTAAAGAAAATAAAAGCTGCTGAAAACTAAAACGATAAAACATAAATAGCAGTCATAGCTGATCTTACCAAACAAACCTCCAGGAGCTTAAACAGAGAAAATGTAGAAAAAAGACGATTTTTAAATTTCAGCAGAACTGCAACAAACCAGTCACCTCGCTGCTAAAACACAAAAACCACAATAAAGATTTCTTCCTTTCTTCTTGTACCGTGAGAATGAGGAAGTTAGTGTTTGACACCTCTTCTGTTTTATTAAAGTGTTTCCCTTTTTTAGTAGTGTGTTTAAAGACAGATATGAAGGCTATATTAACCTATAGGTCCTGATTGGCCTCGGCTTCAAATGTGTTGCTTCAAGGAGAGCAGGAGACGTGCATTCAGTTCACCAATCATATTTATTTAAAAATGATATACTTGGTGCTGGAGTACCTGAGCAAATAGAAAGCAACACAAAGTTTAATAGAAAGGTATTTTTTGTTTCACAATAATAAATATCTAAAAGTTATAGCTACTGATTTAAATAAACTATAACAAATATAACCAGACAGGGTACTTACCGCAGGGAGATTCTATCACAGACTCCACTAGATACCACCACGTGAGCTCACTGTGATCACTAACGCTGCAACTTACACTGCAAGAAAAAAGACAATCTTCCAAACACTTGAGTGTCCACCACCAGCAGGCCGACCACACCACATGCAAGAAGTGGTCTGGATCCCACACGTACTCCCCGCAGCGCGTCCCCGCTGCCTACAAATAAAATAAAACAAAGACAAGCATGAAGTCCAGTTGGTTCAGTTTCACATAAAGGTTACACATTCATGGGTTTAAATATGGGCAGGTACGCAGTAAATTATCCACCACAACATGGACAGTGAGCACAACAACCATGGCCGAGTCCAGTTCAACAAACAATCTCAGCCAGACGACATGGATGAACTGATTCAGGCAAAGCAGCAGTCTGACACTCGTCTATAATGAGGAAGACATGGTAAACATCATTTATATAAACTAGATAAAACACCTTGGAGGGAAGATCCCTCCTTCATTATCAGTTAAAGTTACCTCGCTCAATCTGAGGCCCTGATTAAAGGAGACACCTGGAAGGTCAGCAGGCTGACACTGGGAGGGAGTCAAAGGCTGAATTTCCTAAAGAATTAAATTACATTAGTGATAGGCCTACAATTAATCATACAACAACAGTTATTTGTAGCCTACCTCTTCAACATGAGCCTACAGAGCATATCAGTCAGGGTAAATCAGGACACAGCTCATTACATCTGAATGAACAAGAGAAACCTCATTAAGTATCTGACCAAAGCACACAGTCAATGTTTCTCCCCAGAGCTCCCTTACCGGCACACACCAAGCAGTCCCACCACACATCTACCAGGAAACTCTCCCTCAACCTACCTACAGAGGGCAGTGTTCTCAGCTCACACATCAGCCCTCACAGGTAGCATCAACTAAAGATGGACACTTAGAAGAATAGAGAGAGAATGACACCCACTAAAAGACCCAGGTTAGAACTGAACCTGGTCCACTGTGATAAGGACTCTGCTTTAAATGCTTCATGCTCTAACAAATGTGTAACATGGCACCCAAGCTTCATTGGTTCCAAAGGCTTGACCAATTACCTCAGATCATGTGGCCCCTTACAATCTATGAGGTCCCAACTTCAACATTGGAGAAGCTGGAAAGAGGGGTCACAGGATAGATTAAGAAGTGGCTTGTAGTCCCACACTGCCTGACTTCCATAATTCTCTATGGAGATTATGTCCTTAAAACTGCCCCTCAGCAGTCTCACGGAGGAGTTCAAATGTGCTAAAGTAAGACTTTAGATGACACTGAAGGAATCCAGAGATGCAGTGGTGAGGAACAACGCACCAACCCTGGCAGCAGCGGAGCAAATGGAGACCAGCAAGAGCAGTGGAGGAGGCAACAGCTGCCCTTAGACATGCAGACATCGTGGGGCATGTTCAACAAGGAAGAGGAGGATTGGGTTGATCATGTTTTACCACCACATGATCATGTAGGCAACACAGAGACACAATATGTCCTAGAATCTGGTGTTATGTGAATTGCAGCAAAAAAAAAAAGAACGACATAATTACAGACGTCTCTGCTGAGGTGGAGAAATATAACATGTCGGCATTCTGCTTGCTCGTTGCCTCACATGGAGAAGTGTGCACATCATTTATTTTATATTTATCTTCTCAAAGACAGTAATCATCAACCACATACTCCTTGCGAGCTTTAATACCCTCTTCTTATGTGATAAAGTTCACTAATCCTAACGGTGACATATGTAAAAGAAACATACGATTACAGGTTATGATTAAGGTGAACTTTTAACATTCATCATACAGAGGCTGATTCATAACAAGACCAAACCAAATCCATTCAACCACAAATATACAGCTGTTCCTTTAGTGTAAATATCTATAATAATACGGGTTGGGGTTGTAACTCTGGCCGCTGTAGCTACATTTTTTATTTAGATGAAAGATCTGCATTAAGTACTATGGATCATCACAAGGTGTTTATTGTTTTGCTTTTAATGCAGCTGGAATTGTAAAAGTTGTCATTGTTGAAACTGGACTAAATTAAATAAAGAGTTTCCACAATCAATGAAAAAAAATCATTGCATTGATAATGAACAGAGTTGTGGACTGATGAAAACATTTAGTTGTAGAGAGCTGTGCAGCTACAGTGGCTACAATGATACAGTGGAAGGACTTGTTCTCATTAGAAGAAAACAAACTACCTCTGGTTGTTATACTTCCCCTCTTTTTCATCTTTTTATATCCAACCACTTCTTATAGGCTTATCAGACACTCACAGATGTAGTTTCATCTTCTATATAACATCAAACATGTTGAACAGACTGACATGTCAAACTATTTGTGTTCATTAAAATAAAAAAGGGAGATGTCTGTCTCAGTTTCCTTGTACTGAAAGGATTACTAATAATGCAACTTTATAACTTTATAACTTAATAACATTTACCAAGGCCTGATGAGAAATGCTTCAAATGATCAAAATGTTTTTTTTCCCTTTTTTTTATTACCTTTTTCAAAGGTGAACAAACAAAAATAGGGCAGTAACCCATACATTAAAATAATCAATACAACAACATACAGGTAAAATACAAGTAGTAACCAAAGTCGAGGATTCCCACTTCAATAATATTAGGCGTCTGGCAAACGAGGGTAACAAAGGCTGTAAAGTCTGCTTCTAAGGAGGAAAGGATACTGTGGATGGAGTAACACCAAATAGTGCAGTCATAGCATTAGGTGCAATCGGTTTACCAACAACCTTTGAAAGTGTCCCTAAGATGTTTTAAATGTTGTTGAATCAGAGGTCATCTACACTGTTATAAAGCTGTCTCAGTACTGCTTGCCTGTTCTGCCTCTCTGTCACTTCCTTTAGCTGCATTACAGCTTCACTGCATTGCTCCATCCATCCAGCAGATGTCCTCGTTTGGAGACGCTCAGCCCTGCACCATATTTACTGTCTCTTTTTCAGACAGGATTGTGGATGTTTTTTTTTTATGATACATGTAGTTAAGATCATAGTTGTTTAAAAATGTAGAAGTTTTACATCTTCATCTGGTTATTTTTTCCTAACTTTAGCGTAGAGATCGTCTGGACTGCCAGCAGTCTGTGCTCCACTGTTTCCTCTCCCGGACACTTTGACTTGTGCATACAGTGTCTCCTGCTGCTGTCCTCGGTCCTGTACCGAGTTAAAGGACTCTTCATGTCTCATCTTGGAGAAGTCTATCTCTCCGTAATGGATATTTTCTTGTACTTCTTCCTCTGTTTTCCTTGCTGGCTCTTCTGCAGACATCTCTTCACCTGGTTGACTCTGAAAAAAACAAATCACCATTAGACCTGTGGGTTGAACCTTCAGCGAGATGCAATAAATATTTTCAGACCCATCTCACCACTGATAAAAAAATGTAGTCATTCTCAGTTTTACTAGAAATGTGTGAAAGTGTTGTGATAACTTAATATTGTGTTTTTACTTCATCTCAACTAATGTAAAGTTTTCATATTTACAAAAATGGTTCAATAAAATTAAAATTATGAGTCAAAAGGATCTTATCATGACATTGTCCCACATGTAAAAATATATATGTTAAAAATGGCATTTTTAAAGGGGCTAAAGGTGGATATCATATTCCCTTACAGTCAGAAGGCCCCTGGTTCACATCCCTATTTGGTCAGGACATAAAAGTTAACACCATGTTGACCAAACTACTAAAAGGATTCAAAGTTGACCAGGGGGCACCGGTGGTACAGTGGTTAGTGGGTGCCCCCATGTACGGAGGCATTAGTCCTCCAAGCAGACAGCTGCAGGGTTAAATCTGACCTGTTCCTCACTCTCTCTCTCTCTCTCTCTCGCTCTCTCTCTCTCTCTCTCTCTCTCTCTCTCCCTGATTTCAAACTCTATCCACTGTCCTATCTCTTAAATAAAGGCACAAAAAGCCCCAAATATAAATCTTTAAAAGTTGACCAGGAGTTTTCTTTTTGTTTTGAATGAGTACAGGTTCATCTCAACTTTTCATCTTAATTTTGTAAACGTGAGAGTTACATCACAGCCCAGAGACTGCTGAGAAAAAGTCATTAAAGTGGATGTTTAGAAATTGTGAGTGACAGATGGACAACGTGAGCAGATGTCAAAAAGTGCAGCACTGTGAGTCTGTGAGTCACAGTTTTGTGTTTTCCCACCTGAGTCCGTTGTGCAGTTGGGTGTTTTGACTTTAAACACCTAGAAGACATGACAGGCTGTTAGATTGTACTTTGTTCCAGGTTTGATTCATTGTTTTCTGGAGATTTGTATTTATATATTTTCAAGTGCTGCTGAAATGCCAGTGCCAGTAACTGAGTCATCAGTTTCCATCTGTGGTACTTACCAAACAAAGACAACCAGACAGATGAACGCAATGATCCCAAGGATTCCACCAATGATTGCCTCCCAGTGTAGAGAGCTCGCAAGCACAGCTAGTGAATAAACCAGACCGATATAAAATACAAAGTGGAAACTTCTGATGTTACTATATCAAAGTGCTAAACAGGTAAAGCAGCAAAAAACACAAAAAGTCAGGCATGAAGCAACAGAAGGCTGGAAGAGTGAAAATAGCAGATTGCCTCAATGGTTGTCAAAGTAACTGTAGTGTTCACCTTTCTCCTCAAATCTCAGATGGATCTGTGGTGATGTCTGATTACCGAGATCATTCATGGACACACAGTAATAAACTCCTCCCTCTGTGACATTAAAGCTGTAAAACTCTCCTTCAGATACGATCATGGGTCCATCTCTGCTGATCTTGAACCAGGTGAAGCTGCTGACAGGAGGATTGGCTCTGCTGGAGCAGGTCAGGTTCACATGAATACCTGCTGACACCAAACCTGATGGACTGATGGACACTGAGGTGTTTTTAGGAGCATCTGAGGAAAATGTAAGATAAACATATTTCATTAAAAACAGCAAACATCTTTAAAATCGTCTCATTCTGACAGGATCCAATAACAATCTCTGGTTGTCTCACATGAAACTCTGAGAGTCTGTGTCTCCTCTGCTGTCTTGACTTCTTTTCCTTCATTCACAGGATATGTGGCAGAACAGGTGATGTTGTATCCATCATGTTTGTCCGTCAGAGTGATCTGCTCCTGGATTTTAGTCGTGAAGGTTTTATCTGGGTTTTCCTCCATGTTGTTGAGAGAGTCTTGTTTGAGAGTCCAGGTGAGTTTAGGAGGGGAGAGTGGACAGGGAGTGGAAGCTGAGCAGGTTATAGTGACAGACTCCTTCTCCTTCAGATCTCCTGAGATGATTAGTTTGGGGCTCGGAGGAGAATCTGTGTGTTCAAATCAAACAAAGATTACTTTAACCATATAGACTAGCTGACAGTGACTGTCCTTTCTAAAAAAAATTCTAAAATGTTTTTCTCCCAAACTTCCAGCCAACCGCCTGTCATCATTACACGTTAATATTCTGTCATGAAACTTCATGGAGAAGGTTTGTAATGTCATATATAAAATGTGTGTGTACTTTGTAAGAAGGAAGGGTAGGATACTTATCATTGTTACATGTTTGTTGTTTTTTTTGTGTGTGCATGTATATGTTGTGTGTGTATGGGAGAGGAGGGGGGAGGGGTTGAAAATGTTACAAGGAAAAAATGGTCCTAATGATGTTAAGACAAAAGCTGACAGCACTGTAATTAAAAACTTTAAATTAAAATGTTTTTCTGCTTCTTCTTAGTGTGCCAAATTGGACCCTTCAATCTCAACCAGTAAAAAGAGTCTCAGTATTTAATCAGAGTTCAACTCGTGCTATGACAATGATTTATTGTTTCTTAAAAAAACCTTTATAGTCTGATTAAAAGAAAATGAAACTCTCTTACCTTTGACTTTTATTTGAAGAGGATCACAAACAGCATTTGCCCTGAAAGGCCAGTTCATGATTCTG